TAGTCCAAAACACCTTTAAACTTCCTAGCAATGACCAGGGCCAGAAAACCATCATGGCCCCCCTTAACTGGGATTAGCTCCCCAAAACCCCCACACAAACCCCCCCTTTTCTTCCACCCTTCCCCCTAACCCGAACCAGAGGTGCCACGGGAAAAAATCCACTGGTCACTTCTACTAAGCACACATTTAAACTTAAACTCTTCTAAATTTAAAACTTAAAAGTCCCGAAAAGGGCAGTCAAAAAAGAGCAAAAGTTCCAACGAACTAGCTCAAGTAAAATATCCAAAACAACAGAGGGGAGTGAAGTGACAGCAGCGTCCGAGTGCAGAAGAAGTTAAACTCCGGGAGTCGGAAACGCGTGTTTTCCGTGTGTTATTGTTATTGTTAGTGAAGTTGACGGTAACTTTGAAGTTAGTTTGTTCCTGTTCCGTAGTTAAAGTTGTACCGAGTGGAATAAAAGTTGGAAGCAGAAGAAAGAGTTTAATACTCGGCCATCCACGGTACATTACTATATGTGTTACTATACATAATTTGTGTCTACTATAAATGTTATAATGGGCAAAGTAAACATTATTTGTCACATCTGCGGAAGAGTTCACTTCCACAGTTAGCGTGTTTAAAATACACCTTAAAAACAAACATTCGATTTGTGAAAATAATCCAACAAATGAAGAATGGGTGAAGTGTAAAGAAGGACATTGTACTTTTACATGTTCACGAATAGCAAAACTCCGAAACCATTTAGATGTAGAACATGGCGTACCACAAGAAGTAGACCAAAAACATATCAGATATTACCTGCCTATTTAAAATGTGTTATTCACAATTTACTTATTGAGTTAAATAGCTGTAGGTAGAAAAAATATAACGCTACTACTTTGCTGTCTTGCTACAAGTCTGCGATGAGTATCCCGCAATGTAAATGGCATCGGAGATTTCGGCCTGCCAAGAATCAGCGGGCAACTGTATCCGAGCGAGCAAATATCAGAAACGGGAGTTTAGCGTTACGCTATTTTTGTCGTTGTAGATGCTCTCTATTTGGGAAATGTTCTCGTTTGAATCGTCGCCTTGGCGAATGTACTTTTTTACATAGAGAAAGTAAAATAATGTATTTATTTCTTTTTTATAGAAATTGCCAGCTGAGGTTACCAGTGTTTTCCTAGATTCTAAAATACGGGGCAGCTGTCCACCATATTAATATTTCATGCATCATAATGTCAAGAACTGTGTCATAGAAGAATAATGTGAAGACTTTAATTCTTGCCAATATGATGAAGGATTGAGTTTCTGTTTGTAACAAGACTAATTCATAATTAAAGGCGCATGGACTACTCTAATCAATAAAAATATTTTCATTCAATGTTTTACTGTCAACTAGCATGCTCCAGAAAAATTAACTTCTAGACTGAAACATACTCTTTCCACCAGAGCCTTCCTTCAAACAACTTCCTTAGTTCAATTTACGAGTTACACTAGGAGTGAATATCCTGAACAGAGCCCAGCTGTATTTTGTTTTTTATCTATGGTCTAAATAGAAGAAAAAGGCATTTTAAAATAAATTTATTAAAGTAACAAAAAGTTGTAACCCACGTACTTAAATAATATTAAGGAATACCCTCTAAATTACGGTAAATATTTCGCTATTAGAGCTGACGTAATTATGGTAAGATGTGATTACAATTTTTTCAAATAAGAGATCATGTATACAAACAATAAGTAACATTCAACTGACCATATGCCTCCGAAATCAAACTGAATGACTATAAGTTTTCTGACGTTTCAGGAATGCGTTGATATAGAGAGGCAGGCAGGGCCCGAATTTGCGAACTTTAAGAAATCCTCTATTTTTTTAGAAACCATAGTTCTAAATAATTAATGCCATTGTCTACAAAAAGAATTACAAATAAAATAATATAAAGAATTACAATTTATCTTCAGATATTTAATAGTGGTGCGTATTGAGATAAGTAACTATAAAATAATTTCGCTGTACATATTTCAATTTTCGGTCACAAGTCAGAACATTTAATTAAAAAAATATCACCTGTTTGAAATTGGCTAACAATGAGTTTCGCAATTTGATTGAAATCTATTCCAAAATAGCGAAATTTTACTTCTACTAATAGTTTCAACAATAATAAGAAATAAACAAGAAAGTGGTTTTGTTTCCAGCAATTAGTCAACATTACGAGTTTAACAATTCACAGAAACAATTTTTTATTGTCGTGTATTCAATTTGAGAGTATGTTTGATCAATGTTACTTGCAGTAGCACTTTGACAATTTAACTATGAAAAATTTAGTTTGGGAAAATTATCAACAAAACCAGTTTCCGATAACAATATTTTAATTTGGTATGAACAAAATTTTAAACAAATTTTGTCCTAGCACAATAACCTACAAAGTATATAAATGTTACGATTTACTAATTTATACAAAAATAAAGCTTTCCTTAATTTGACGGAACAAAAAACACACATGGTAAGATGTTAGACAATGTCGCAAAATTAAGTAAACTTCCTAATCAAAAATAGTATAAGATAGACAAAAATGAAATAGATTAATTAAATAAGTTATGAATATTAAAATATACAAGATATACATAAATGGTACACATTTGTACACAATTACCTTAATAATCATTTATAAAATATTATGAAAA